CATGAGGGTGGATCTGGATGAGGTCAGTCTCTTTGATAGGACATCATTTCCACTTATCTTCAGTATTAAGGTGCTGTAAAGAATGACTCGCCTCTCCTGGTATGCATTATATAGCTTGTTACATTTGAACAGGTGGCACACCTGAAGTGAGTCAGCGCACCTTTGATTTCACCTGTGATTCACCTACGCAACGGAAAAAACAACAGGTTTCTTCACAATCATGAACCTGCCTGCAATTAAAAACATATCCGACTGTAACTGCTGAAATAAAGAAAGCACACAAGCACCTGGCGTCTGGAAGTGGGTGGATGGGTGGGTGGGTGGGTTGCCCAGCATTGCATCAGCCAGTTCCCAAGTAACTTCTCCTAGCCACAAGCATGAATACAACTATTCTCATGGACAGATAGCGGAGCACCACAGAGCAGCAGATACAACATTATGAGCTGCAGAGTGCTCCGTTTTCTGGCCTCAAGCTCCACAGTTTGGCCTCTACATGTCCCAGATGTCAGTCCTGCCCCCTGTCTGTGTTGTCCCCAGTGGCCGAGGGGACCATTTCCTGTGTGAACCAACACCCAAACACAGAAAGCAATCACAGATAACAATCTCGTATACATTTGCATGGGCATGACAATTCTAAGAAGTAAATTGATGCCACTAATATCAGCATATCTGTGTACTCAGGACGGGAAGTTTACTGGAGGGCCAAGCACGTACACTCTGGTAATTTTCAGAGGGGGGGGTTTAGGGAGTGCTAGAGAGGGGTGGGGAGGGGGTGGAAGTTTCCTCACAGTCCCTTAGCAACAAGGCCTGCTGCTGGCAAGGCCTCCAGAATGTACTGTGGTTTACAGAAGGGATAAACATTGACTTTGCCACCCTGAGAAGTAAATCTGATTTCAGTAATGGAACACTGCATGACTTTAAACAGGAATCAGACAACGGAGAAACCAAATAATGGGGCTACAGATTCATCAGCAGATGGGATATCTTAAGTTTTAAGAATCTGCAATGAAAAGTTGGAATAATTTTTATTTTAACGAATACAACTGTTGCTCTTATCAACATCCTTGCAAGGCTGGTGAGGATGCGATATGCAGGCTCATCTCTGATACTCCCATCGTAGGAAAAGGGAGTAGAGCGCCAAATTAACGTTACATTTGCATTTTATCCATTTAGACCTCACAGTGAACTTTAAAGAGCTTAGAAATGTCAGGCTTTGGTGGCGCACACTCGGAAAAACCAACAGGGTAGGAATGAAAAGGCGTCTCTGTGCTGGGAGTGGAAGTCTGAGAGGGATAAACCTTTCTGGAAAAAAAACTGCTGAGAGGCTTTCTGTCTTTTAATTCACTAACTGGCTAGGTGAATTCTGGGATTGTTTCTGCTGAAGGGGAGGGGAGTGGGATTAGCTGATCACAACTGCAGTCATGCTCATAAAAAAACAAAACATGCTTCTCCAAGTCCATGAGCACTCCCCAGCCAGCCATTTATTAAAGTTTTACAGCATCAAAGGTCAGAGCAGAGCCAAGGTGGTACTAAGGGAATCCAGGGAACCTCTGAGGTACCTGGCTTTTATGCAAAACCTGGACATAAAATGTTCTAATTACACTTATTAAATCGGAGATGATTTTAATTTGCAGAGAAAGCTTTGGAGTAGGGCTGCAACTAAAGGATATTTAGGAAAACGATTAATCAGTCGATTTTCTTTCTGTTTAGTAATCGGATGGCAAAAGGTTCCTCAAAAGAAGGTGAAACTAAAGTTTTTCCACTTGAGAAGTTCTGGATAGAGCAATTTGACAGACGAAAAAGGATTTTGTAAAATCTTAAATGCAAAATATATATATATATATATAAAAACATACATATATTGACATTTTGCTATTATTACTGCTCTGAGTTGGTTGCTATGTCAACTAAATGCATCTTTTTGAGTCTCTATACTCCAGTTAACCGATCATTAAATTACTTGACGATTATTTCACTAATTTTTTTTTTTTTAGAAAATAGTTTTTTCACCCAGTTTTGAACCAGTTGAAGCTAAACTATCCGACCAGTGGAATTCTGGATGGGGAATATTTACCGACAAGAAGGTTTTCATCCCTAATACTTCCTTTATTACATCTCTACATTGGTTGTAGTTTCATCAGCAAGTGTTATGTATTCTTCAATTAGTGATTAATTGATTACTAAATAAGTTGATGATTATTTTAATGATCAGTTAATCGCAAAAAAAAATCCAAAATGGTCTTTAATTCAAACTTTAGATTTGTTGTAGGATATAAACGAAAGGATTAAAGTAGGATTTTCAAACACATACAGAGGAAAATATAGATTCAAATTCAATGCATCTAATCCTTTTTTTTGTCTATTTCAGTCCTTGCCGTATACACCTCTTATGAAAAGCTTAATTGCAAATACATCTCAGTAACAAGTGGCACATTTCTAAAGATCCTTTTTAGTTACATTTTGCACCCATCAATGCAGACTGTACAAAGTCAGCATTTTACATTTAATATGCTTTCCAAACTATTTGGAAAAAGTAAAAAAATTTAAGTTTTTTAACCTGATTATAAACATTGTTAAGTCACTTATGTCAAGCAAAGTTCATTGCATATTTTCGTTTTCTCTTGTAGTTGTATAAAAATGCAAACAAGCTTAAACAAACAAACAACCTCCCTCAAAATAGCATTTCTGTTTTTATCAGGAGCTTAAATGGATGGTTTACAATCTATGAGATCTAGTGATGTAAAAAGAAGTTAATATCTTACTTGCAGTAGATAACTCTAGAATAAACCCATATATGACAACTACAGTAGAAAAAACAACAACACTGTAATGCAGGTTTATCCAAATACCATTTTATGAACCTTAAAATGTTGTTTTGCACTTACACTAATCTCTCAATCTAAAAAAAGAGACACTCCTGGCAAATTAAAATAACTCAATAAAAAAAGTGTGTGAACTTAAACATTAATTACACATTTATAATGCATTGTAAATGAATAAAACAGATTAAAAAACTCAAGTTCAAGACCAGTTAAACTTGAACCAGTCATACACTTGATAAATTTGATTACGGCTATCATTTTTGGCATTTACTTAATCCTATTTAGTTACTTTAACACAATTGTTTTATGTCCTACCCTGCTAACATGAAACAATTCTGTTAAAGTAATTAAATATGATTAAGTAAGTGCAAAAAAACGGTTGCCTTTTTTTCCCTGTGAGTTGAAAACTATTTAAATTGGTTAAACAGGATTATTTAAATTAATTGATTCACTGCTAACGATATATGATTTATTGTAGGGAAATTGCAGCAACAATAATCCAACACTGTGGGACCAGTTATTTAAAAATAACTGCCTAGTAGAAAATTAAGTTTTGTTTTTTTTAAATAAAATAATATATATATTTACACGGTCTTACTTTTATATTAAAGTGTTCAAATCTTTTTACCCTCCATGTTCCATTTATAGCAAGGATATCACTAGTTTCTCATCAAATACTGACCCACTGCACATCAAAACAATTGTGAATGTTTATAAAACAGGTTTACCATGATTGGATTTTTCAGATTGCTGTTATCTTAAGACTGGAGGAAATTTGCTGCATCTTTCTTTAACTCATACTAGTGGTTTCCTTCCTTGACCAACTGATGTGGATTTATAGTGAACAGGACCTCAGAAGGATTATACTGCCGGTAAGAAATAATCCTTTCAATAAAAAATGAGCAAGGGCGTAGGTTTGATCTCAACTTTGGTTGGGACACTACTGGTCTTAAGTTGAATTGGTCTAATGTCATTGATTATGCATGCTCCTATTATTTATTTATTTATTTATTTATTTTTTATGCTTGAAGTGAGCATCAGTTCGCATTTTGTTTAAAGAGAAAACAGCATTTTTTGCTACAATTATACAAATTTTATAAGCACTACACACACAAGATGCTGTTTATCAATGTTTGAAGCATCAGTGGCTCAGAATAATGTAAAATTGGGACAACCTTACACTTTGAAAAGGGTTACATTAGAACTTACCATTTAAGACGGAAGGTAAATACATGCCTTTTTTCACAAAATATAGTCTAAATATGTCTGTTGTATATGTATTTATCAGGTGTTTACTTTTGAAGAAATAGAATTGTGCACTCTTATTTCTTTTATCTGATATGCTGATATTGTCTGGATCGTAAAACAAAGCAAAAATAACATATTCAAGGGACTGCAAATAGATTTATTGTATTTACATGGCCGCGGGAACTATGAGAGGAACTGACACTGAGCTTTTAAAATATTAACTTCAATATACGAGTAGTGAGAAAAGAAGCGACTCTAGCAAAAACGCTGTATTGGAAACTATAAACATGTTATTCACAAAGGTAGGGACAAGTAGGTCAGGCCAGGATTTTAGTAGGGACATGTCCCTATGGTCCCTATGCCCATTAAAATGAGGCCCCTCTAATCAAACCCTGCTTTGGACCCTGTAGCACCTTGGACCGGCTCTGCCCATGGCCATCATGTGGGGCATGTCTGTCCAATCTGACCACATGATCACCAACACAGATGGTGGCTGCTATGTTGGATTTAGGGAGGTTGAATGATGCAGCACATGTCCTGTCCAGAGGAATGGAGCCAGCAGCAAGAGAGGCAGGGAGAGGGAAAATGATTCAATATGTACAGAAATAAACACCTAAATCCACAGCAACAACAAACAGCGTTGCTTCCTGTGTATGAGCTCTGGTGGGACAATGAAGGGGCTTGTCTTATCTTCTCACAAGTTCACAGGCCTGGTCGTGATTTCAGCCTCCGAAAGACCCTTAAAATTTAACAGCGCTGATTTAACTGAAGGCTAATTCGCCATTACTCGCTGATTAAAGACAGTCTTCACACTTTATAGGAGTTACTTCACTATTACACGGACTCTATCTTTAGTACAAATAAAAAATAATAAACATTTAAAACTTTTTTTTTCAACTGTTTAGTAAATGTTTATGTTGGTTTACTTACAAAAAGTTTTCCGACCACTGGATCGAAGTTCATTTTGGGAACTTCGAGATGAGAGTCGATCCCAAAGCAATTCGCGTTTTCTCGGCACCAGAATGGAAATGTCTAACAAAACACTCTCAGAGTGAAAAAAAACAAACAAACACGGACACACGAGCCCGACTTTAAAACTATCCGTTAGCCGGTTTCTTTCATGAGTTCAGGCAGTGACCGTCCTGAGCAGCAGGGTCGCTCGCTCTGAGAGCGAATGAGATTTTTTTTCTGTGCCTGGAGAAGAGGAGCTGACGTCATTTTCCCAACCAGCCAATCAGAAAGAGCTATCCTCGGAAAATAGCAGATAATTACTGCAAAACACCTTCTAAAGCTCCTCAAATATGCTTTTCTACTTCATAGAATTCATAATATTCGTCAGAAAATCTAAAACATAAACAGAGTTGTGTTTTTTATTTGTTGTGTTGGATATTTAATTCTGTTGTTTTTTTTTTTTTGCACCTTTCATGGACAGTTCTAGACAGAGGCCAACATCATGGTCCCCATTAATGCCAGAAATATAATTATGCGTCTATTTTTTGTTTATAAGTAATGCACTTATGTTCAAGTATGTTGTATACACACATATTTATGTATGTTTTATAGTGCACTCCATGAAATACTTTAAAAATCAAAATTTCAAGCCAATAGTGTTATTGGAATCCAGGACAAGACCATATTGCCTTTGTAATATTAAAAAATATGGATGTTATGATGGCAAAAGTTAATGTCAGTGAAATAACAGGAAACACCAACTTGCTTGAATATATTAAGAAAAATAACAAAAGTGCTTCTATAAGAAATTCATCAAAAACACTCTGAGAGTGAAAGAAACACATTTTTTTTTTTTTGGGTATGACATAACCTTAGAGGCATTAATGTTGATACTGGCACTTAAATGTTTTAGTTTATAAATCTATATATAATTGTTAACTAGGCTTATTAACTTTAAACTTTATTTTTTATCTTTTCAATTAGCTTTTTACCTTTTTTTCTTGACTTGTTACCTTTTTTAAACTTAATTTACTGTAGGCAATATATCATTCAAGGGCTCGTCTAATTGGTCCAATGCCAAAATAAGATGTACAGCTATGTAGCAGGATCTTTGCTGAATGGCGTGCTGGATATTGATGGGGACCCATTTGTGAGAGGTATGCAAGTGATCAAATACTGTAACGGGCCCTATAAAGGGTTAAGTGCTTATATTAGGTGTATATGTTATGTGCTGATGTCTATGTAAGGTGTATATTTTATATTCTAAGATCTCAAAGGAATTGATCAGAACCCCTCTGCAAATCTCCTTTAGGGGCTACTCCTTAGTCAACACTGGAATATGAATTAATATCTTTCAAGATGGCTGTGCACAGACATACATCTAACATTCAGCCTGATGGAACTTGAAATGTACAGCAAAGAAAAATATGCACTAACTAAAGATAGGCTAGCTTATCTTGTTGAATAAAATATGCACATAATAGATAAGCACCTAACATATAAACCTTACTTAGACATAAGATTATAATACATACATAAAACATATACGTACACACATAAACATATTTTTGTAGTAATGGAACCCCATACAACAGGGGCCAATGCCCCTATGGAATTGGTCCTAATTCCTGCTCTGGGTAGTGGCACTTCTAGACACAATTTGCAAAGAGAGGTCAGGATGGGGTGGGTGTTTTTTCATGTGGTCAGAGAACAAAATAATAAACACACAGAGAAATAAAGGAACAGAGCAATCATTGAATCCTTCAGTGTATTAAGTGAGTCACATATATGATAATATATAATAAATGTATTCACTATCAACACTTCAAATACTGATATCAAATGAAAAAAATAAAAATCATAAAATAGATTTATTTTCCCTTCATTTGAGCAGGTTATTATGATAAACTCTCAAATGAACGATCAAACAAGGGATTTAAAATGAAGGCGAAGCATTTTTAGCTTCAGAGGTACTGAGATAGGATCACAAGACCAGTTGCTCCACAAAATCACTTTATATATTAAATTTTATACTTTTGCCCAGATTTTTTAGTTTTATTCTTTTTATTTGTACCCCTGAAAAAAATGGTCTCTGTTAAGTAAGATTTGTTACCATTTTATTATTAGTGTGTCCTTTCTTAGGAACAAACTAATCCTTTAAAAGAGCCATGCTGCAAAAAACAAAGAGAAAAAAAATTATGCTAAGGCAATACTCCTCCAATCTGACTGAGTTGTAACTATTTAGCTCAGAAAATCTGTCTGTAGATGTGAACATCTGTTAGAGCCTCATTCAAAACCTCTTGCTGCTGAGACTGTAACCAAAGGCTCCACAAAGTAATAACTCAGCGGAGATCAATGCATATATTTGTCACATTTTTTGAATTTCATGAGTAAAAAAGAAATTTAAATACTGGTTGTTGGCATATCTGTTGAAACTATTTTAGTTTTATCTCCGCAAAGCATATTTTCCCATGAATTTATGCTTTTTAATATCAACCATGAATGGATCTGCTGTTTATTTTTCGATATGTTAAATTATATTATGTGTGGAATAGTTTTACATTTTGGATTAACATTTATGCTGCACTTGATGCAATTAAAGGTATAGTTGAGGTTTTTAAAGAAGTTTTGCAAAGACCTGCCCTCTCCACTTTAAAAAATAATGCAAATGCAAAACCCTGTACCCGCTCCTGAGAGGGAACGCCTATTAAATGCCTGCAAGAGCACGCACAAGCCCATTTCTCCTCATGCCGGCTCTGTTTAAAAGTTGCTGTTTGCATCGATCTTACAAGCTTTCTTTCCAAAAGAAGATTTGCAATTTTCCACTATGTCACACTCACCTCCGCTAAGTAAAAAATAGGGACGAGCACATAGGATGGCCTTACATTAACATATCACCAGAATGATTGACAATTAGGAGAACCACTTATTTTGATGATCCACCTGGAAAAAGATAATCTTCCACTCTACCTTTAAAGTTCTCTGAAGAAAAGAAGGTTGAATGCAATCCACACTTTTCAGATTATTTTTGTAAAAAAATTGAGAATCTTTTGTCCCTATTTTATGCACTACACCATTAAATACTACCTTGTTTTACGCTTGGAAATGTGGTAAATGACTATTCTAGCTGCAAATGTCTAGTTTTTGGTGAAATATCTCCATAGGTGTATAGAGGCCCATTTCCAGCAACTATCACTCCAGTGTTCTAATCGTACAATGTGTTTGCTCATTGGCTCAGAAGGCTAATTGATGATTAGGAAACCCTTGTCCAATCATGTTCACACATCTGAAAACAGTTTAGCTTGTTACAGAAGCTATAAAACTGACCTTCCTTTGAGCAGATTGGGTTTCTGGAGCATCACATTTGTTGTGTCAATTAAACACTCAAAATGGCCAGAAAAAGAGAACTTTCATCTGAAACTCGACAGTCTATTCTTGTTCTTAGATATTAAGGCTTTTCCATGCGAGAAATTGCTAATAAATTGAAGATTTCCTACAACGGTGTGTACTACTCCCTTCAGAGGACAGCACAAACAGGCTATAACCAGAGTGGAAAAAGAATTGGGAGGCCGCGTTGCACAACTGAGCAAGAAGATAAGTACATTAGAGTCTCTAGTTTGAGAAACAGATGCCTCACAGGTCCCCAACTGGCATCTTCATTAAATAGTACCCGCAAAACACCAGTGCCAACATCTACAGTGAAGAGGCAGCTGCGAGGATCTGGGCTTCAGAGCAGAGTGGCAAAGAAAAAGCCATATCTGAGACTGGCCAATAAAAGAAAAATATTAAGATGGGCAAAAGAACACAGACATTGGACAGAGGAAAACTGGAAAAAAGTGTTGTGGACGGATGAATCCAAGTTTGTGGTGTTTGGATAACAAAGAAGAACGTTTGTGAGATGCAGAACAAATGAAAAGATGCTGGAAGAATGCCTGACGCCATCTGTTAAGCACGGTGGAGGTAATGTGATGGTCTGGGGTTGCTTTGGTGCTGGTAAGGTGGGAGATTTGTACAGGGTAAAAGGGATTCTGAATAAGGAAGGCTATCACTCCATTTTGCAACGCCATGCCATACCCAGTGGACAGCGCTTGATTGGAGCCAATTTAATCCTACAACAGGACAATTACCCTAAACACACATCCAAATTGTGCAAGAACTATTTAGAGCAGAAGCAGGCAGCTGGTATTCTATCGGTAATGGAGTGGCCAGCGCAGTCACAAGATCTGAACCCCATTGAGCTGTTGTGGGAGTAGCTTGACCGTACGGTACGCAAAAAGTACTCATCCAACCAATCCAACTTGTGGAAGCTGCTTCTGGAAGCGTGGGGTGCAATTTCTCCAGATTACCTCAACAAATTAACAGCTAGAAGGCCAAAGGTCTGTAATGCTGTAATTGCGGCAAATGGAGGATTCTTTGACGAAAGCAAAGTTTGATGTAACAAAAATCGTGTTTCAAATACAAATCATTATTTCTAACCTTGTCAATGTCTTGACTCTATTTTCTATTCATTTCACAATGTATGGTGGTGAATGAGTGTGACTTTTCAGGAAAACACAAAATTGTTTGGGTGACCCCAAACCTTTGAACGATAGTGTATATTTTTTATTAAAATGTAAGTCTGTATATCTGCATTTGAAACCCACACTTTAATGAAAAGAGTGACAAATTTCTCCTAGGATGAATTAGCATATCTGAAATGCTATTTGTAGAAAGGAAGAATCCTATTCTGAATAGTGAAAATATTCATTTCAACAAGCAAAGTCATTCAGGTCTGAAGATGTTGTTTTTGAGGCTGGCCAGAGAGTTCTCCTGCTCTAAACATCCTTTCTTTTCACATTACAGTTACCCAGACATGTGATTCTTTCAAATCAGAGCTGAAAATCAAATTCTCCTCAACAGCTTTTAATCTTGCCTGTGCATTTTTTTTTATCCTGCGAGCTGAGGTTAGTTCTAAATTGGCTGCACAAATAAACTTTGACTACGCCTTTGATCAGGCTTTACTTACCCACCGGTTACACACTCTAGCCTCATTAACTGGGCCATATAATGTGTAACCTGCAAGTAATAAATGGCTAATGTGCAACAGAAGTGAATGAATGATCCCAAAGTGGGGACACAAACACTTTTTTCCAAGCAAAGAGAGAGACTTCATCCTCATTAAAGTCAGTGGAAAAGTGGTCATTCTGCTTGTGTTTGGACTTCATTTGTGGAAAAAAAACAAC